TGCAGGTGAATGATGTAGAAAACTAATGACATGGTTAACATGGTTAATGACATGGTGCTGCATCCTCAGACTGGGATTAGTCATTTTAATTTCTTTTAGGATTTCCCGGTGTGATAGGGAGCATTGATGGAACCCACATTCCCATCATTGCTCCTTCACAAAATGAAGGAGACTATGTGAATAGGAAGTCCATTCACAGCATTAATGTGCAGGTAGATTGACTGTCTCAAAATGTCAGACTGCATCACACTGCAAAAACTCAAAATCATACCAAGAATATGTGTCTTATTTCTAGTCAAAACAAATCACACCTAAAAGTAACTTATTTTTAGACCATTTTCACTTGAAAAATAATTAGGTGGGATTGCATCTAAGTGAACTAAATTTTAGCTTTAACACCATTCCACCTGTTTGCATCTGTAGCCTAACATTATTGTGATTGCATAAATGTATAAAATAAATTTAAACTTAGGCTACGCATTGACTCAAGCAGTAATGTTCTCCCACGCCGACTCCCGTTCCTTCGCTGCTGCAACCGTGTTACTCTTCTTCCTGAAAACAGCTTCAAATTCGCTGTATGAGCGCATTAAAATATCCAACTCCAGAGGAGTAAAAAAATGCAGACCTTTTCTTGTAGCTTGTTGCCATGGTGAATCGTGGTATCGGGGCTCCATTGACGACGGCTTTTTAAAGTCGTGGTGCGCGCGCTTAACTCAGAGTGAACAAACTCTGTGTTGATTGAATCAATTGAAATCACCTGTTCTGAAACCAGTAACCCAGAGTTTTCCATCTCAGAGTTACTCAACTCAGAGTTCAGGGTTAGGCTCAGAGTTTGTTGAACCTCCTTTCTGAAACGGACCCCAAGTGCGTAGGCTACCGTGTAGGGTCTGCAACTCAAATATAAATCCCTCCTACCCCTTCAGATATGGTACCGAGACAATAGATTTGTTTAGCTTTTCCACCGCAACCGCTACTCTTAAATGTGAGCGGGGTTGTTGTCACTCACTGCTCTGTCCAGCTTTTGCTGTATTTCCTCTTCACCGGTGACACAGAGGGGTCTGCACCTTGTTTACCATGTTCACAGTACGGGTTGCGCACCAAAATTTTCAAAACAAAATAGAACAGGCTGTAGTGAGACAGAGTCAGAGGGATATTCAAAAAAATAGCAGGTTTCTGCATTTAGTCCGTCTCAGATAAGAGCAGGGGTTTAGTACTGCTGGAGCACACCAAAACGACACTCTAAATTTTTTTTTTCTCCAAGTGAGGATAAGAATATATGCAGCTCACATATTGAAGCCGAAATTAAGTATACTTTTTCAACACTTAAAAATTCACTCATTACTTAAAGTGTATGTCATCCAATAGAGCCAATAATAGCAATGGAATGGTCAAAGTTGTGACATTGAAATTTAAGGTGTGTTATTGGATTCACATCATCATGCATTGAGCAACATTAGAAGTAAACATTAAGGGACTGCAGAAATAGAGAAGGTAAGGAAGAGTTCCATTAGTAGCATCCACAACATTTCACAATGGAAATGGAAAAAATGTGTACCAAACTGAAATGAACTGAACTGAACCGGACTGCTTGGTGGCATCGGGGCTTATGTTGCCATTTTCTGTGGAAGCATGCGAGAAAACAAAGTTTTCTTCACAATTTCAAGGTATAATTTTCATATGGTCATTCTGTGGGTGAAGTACGTTGTTGGGTATGACCTTTGACAGATCCTTTTTAACTTCTACATTTACATGTAATTTCAGAAAATAACGCTATGAGGTGCAGTGTTATCATGACTGATAGAGATGACGGTCAACCAAATAAGACCCAAATTGAAAGAAGTTTCTTTGCATCTTTTTAGCTGTGACCATAAAGGCCTGTACAGTAACACACACACACACACTTTTATTTACACACACTATACAGTATACTGTCTGTACACTGACTATAATCCCCAGCAGTTGGTCCAACTGCAAACCACTGCAGCAGCGCTTGTTTTTCTGTTGCAGCTCACCACATTGAAAATGTTCACAACCCACTGCAAAGTCACCTATGGGGGGAAATATTAACAAGTCTAAAAAAGGAGAGAGAGGACAGAAATACATTGAGTCAGACCAGGAAAGAAGCAGATCGAGAAGCAGAGAAGAAGAAGACAGAGGCAAAGACAGAGAATGAGTGAAAAAGAGAAAGACACATGGAGAAAGAGAGAAAGAGGGTTCAGGCAGAGTTCAGTCTCATTAATAAATGATTGCAGTCAGCGGCGGCTCGACTCCAACATGTCAATAACGCAGAGGAGCAGCTCTCATTGCTTTCTTCCCCCCCCCAGAGCAGGAAAATGTGTTGACAGAATGAAAATAAGGCGACGTCCTTGTATTTCTACTCTGCGAGGGCACTGTTTTTCCTTTCCCTTTTTCACTTCTGATTTTAACGCCTTGTGCCACTGGAAAATCTCTCCGTTTTGATCCCACCAGTTTGCCCTCTCTGATCTGACATGCTGGGGAGGTAACAGCAGAGGAGCCAATGCTGCTCATCTTCCATGGGGAATATCTGAAGAGTTTCAGTACGAGATGCTTGCCCTTTGAGAAAATTGCCGCCCACTTGAGCCTACAGGTACGAGACGGTCGATGTCGGGAACGTAAAGTGCACTATAAACACGATGAGTCATCTACAGTCCTCTGCTCCTCCGAATTTCTAGTCTGAAGATGGAGTCATATGTGATTTTGGAAGTTACAGTGATGAATTTGAAGTTTTCTTACAGATGTAATTTTTTTTTATTTAATTCAACTGCTTGGCTGTGTGATAGCTGGCAGGACTTCATGTCCAGAGGCGCTGCTCTATTACAGGGCAAAGAGAGTTTTAGAAGGACATTATGAGCATTAAAATGTGTGTATTTTTAGCTCCCTGAACACATTGCTAAAGCTGAAACCTGGCAGTCCACTCAGAGCAGGACTCACCACAGTTCTAGGGTCCAAAACAGTAACCTGCACAGCTTACACAGTTTATTTTGAAGTTTAAACTTTGTTTGATGTTGGAGGTAGCCATGCAGATCTCTCTGTGCTTCAGAGAAGATATATGTTGACATCACTGCAGACCTTTGCAGAAAAAAGTGTTTTGGATGACTAAAGGTTGCAGAGGTGAAAGTGAGCTCAGACGTATGGCAACATGAGATATTTATGTAGAATATACACAAGAGCTTAAACTGTAAAAGTATCTGTTGCATGAAAACTAAAGTACAGGCAGGCAATTTGGAATTTAAGCGTGACACCAGAATTCCTAAAGTCACTGGACAATATAAAAGGCTGAAAAGAAGCCATAGGATCTACAACCTTTGTAACAACATCGGTTTGGGAGATAAGTGGCATATGTTGTTTGAATGTCAGAATATAATCTTAAGAAATTATAGCAAAAGTTATTATTTAAACCACCAATATATGTTTAAATTAATTTTGTTATTACAGTCACATAAGCTAAAAGTTAATGGTAAACTAGGTGCCTTTTTTAAGGATTTCCTTTCCTTCTTTAAGTGGCATTTGTTGTACTTTGGCCATTATATGTTGCATCATGTTGCCATTATTGTATCTTATGTTTGTGCTTCATACCATTTGATCATGGTCCTGTGTCACATAAAATAAATAAAAATAATTTAAATTAAATGAATGCGTCCAAAGGAATAAAGACATCCTTAGAAATTTGAACGCGCAATCTCTGAACAACTGGGGCCAGAAAATAAAGGTAATCAATGAAAAGTCCACCCTAAGATAGCAAGACAACTTAGTGTGTTTGTAAGTTTGCTGATAACTTGCATCTTTAACAGCCAAAAAATAAATGGCTTTATACCACCAATAATCATAATAACGATCAAATTTAAAGCAACGCTAAGAGATTTATTGAGTTGTAAGTTGACAAAGAGGAACACTGTTGCACTATGTTTTGGTTTGGTCTCCACCAACTCTTGAGGGAAATATCTGTCTCTTTAGCTGTTAGTAGCTTTACTATGTTCATCAGCTTTTCTCTAATTGTGGAGCTTAACCTAGCTGACACTGGGGAAGAGGCGGGGTACAACCTGGACATGTCACTAGACTATTGCAAGGCTGACACATAGAGCCAGCAAACAATCTACACCTATGGGCAATTTAGAGTCACCAATTAACTTAATCTGCATGTCTTTGGATTGTGGGAGGAAGCCAGAGGACCCAGAGTAAAAACCACATTGACATGGGGAGAACACGCAGACTCCACACAGAAGGGCTTCCCACCTCGGGGTACAAACCACTCACCGGGTGACAATGCTAACCACTGTACCACTGTGCCTCCAAAAGCTAAATAAATATGAGTAACATCACTAGCTAATAAAAAGTGCTATGTGACATTTAACTGTATATGAGAAATTGAATTTAAATAAATTATCTTACCTGTTATGTGATCATAATTTGAGTTAAACATAGATATCAGACAGATAAATTGTATCTATGTTTTAAATCTGATATATGCAAATGTTTTAAAAGGGCGAAGGGTCCACAGCTTAGATCTTTTGTGGATGATTTTGTGAAAATCTGCCATTCATGTGAATCCGCCATTGCAAAACCTGGAAAACACTCTAGTCAGCAGCTTGACACTGCCGGGTTTATGCTTGTGAAAACACATGAATGGTGTGAAATGTGTCACTTCCAGTGTGCTGGCTCTGTTTGAGCAGACTTCATTTATTGGCATTTTAAACCGGAACAGGTGCAAACAGATCAACATTCTCAATAGCAATAGATTATTCAGAGTGGTGGCAAACACGGTAAATGTGCAGATTTGTGTATTTTAATGACACTCCACCACACAGTTGGAAAAATGAGTGGTTTCAACCTTGAGGATAAATACTAACTTTAGGTTGGATGGTGATTTTCAGTCCAGACTGCTCACTCTATGAGAACAAACAGCATTAACACAGCAGGGAGGAGTGGGCACCCTGTGATTTAGTGCTGGAGTGCAAATGATAAAAAGCAGAAATACGTACGAGAGCTTGGCGAAGTCCGTCATCTGGATTTTAGCCCTGCGAGCCAGGATTTCCATCAGGTGGAGGCCTTCATCTGTCTGTAGTCCACTGATGATCATGAAGAGGAGGCAGGTGGGAGGAGGAGGAGAGTAGAGGACAGAAAACAAAGTATTGAAGGAAGAGACAAGTAGAAAAAGAACACAAATTAAACTCATGTCAAGGAGTAAAACAAATGTCCTAATACTTCCTGTGAACTTACAATATGGTTAGCACATGATTTGCTATGCACTATAGAAAACAAGAGGACAGACCCTTGAGTTGGTGTTTTCCCTGGCAAATATATGTAAATAGAGGTTTATATTTCTCTGCTCCTTAATGAAACTCTGATGTACTTGCAGCTTACTGAAATGATTAGGCAAAACTGTTTTTCTCCCATTCATGCAACTAAAGTTCAGGAACTTTTCTTGTGTATGTGGCGACATTAGGTAAATGTTAATGAGGCCAAAGGAAACTCTTTGAAATTCAAATGTGTGATAAAGTAAAGCTTTTATAATTTGACACTTTCTAATCAAGCTAAATGAAAACTCGTACTTTGTGCCGAAAACATATTCAAACTATTTCTCTAGAATCCAGTCCTGCCTTCATTCCTTATGACAGGTGGAAGGCCGTGAGGAATATAGCTAAGAAACGGAAGACGTACTTGAACAATATGCTGAGAGTGTGACGTGGCAGACATAGCAGATGGGCACAGGAGTACCATCCATAAGAGAAATTTGAGTGGATGCTAAATATGTCTGGACATCTTAGGGTAACATCAAACATCTGAACTGAGACAGAAGGCAAATAAAAGTATAAAAGAGAGAAACAAAAGCTCTCAGACAGAGACAGGTCAGACAGGTGTGAGAAAGAGATGTGGGAAGTGCTGTTTGGTGGCGAGGTGAATACTGTGGAGGTGAGGAAAGTCGTAGACAGAGGGCTTGTTATCATCACTCCCTGCTCCCTCATTTTGTGATTTAAAGTGCGTGTTGACAGGGAGTGACAAGGTCAGAGGCAAAAACACAAAGTCTGTGCAGCCATTTAACAAATGAAATGCCTTTGGCAGTGTTCCACAATGAGAATGACCTCTGTCGTGTTTGTGCATGTCGGCTTTCTCAAACTAAAAAATGAGAAACCTACCTCACCCTGAACCCTGATCTAATGGAATTACAGTATATGTGCAGACAAAGAAAAGAATGGCACATGTGTGGGCACACGATGTTTGGAACAACAATGGAACAATACTTCACCGTTGATTTTGGCAAAAAGTTATCAGAAACTGGTTTAATTTATTTATATGTGCACATAATCCAATTCAGTTGCCCCTCATTCTACGTTAGAGGATGTGAAAAGAAGTTGCTAGTTTTATTCAGGGTCCCCACATATTTTATATCTTCATAACTTTTCCATGACTTTTCAGGGACACATAATACAATTTCCATGACCACTCACAACTTATAACATGAACAGAACTGTATACTTACTCTAAATGTAAATGATCATATTAAAGGCGGTTGGCGGACACTGACCAGGAGAGCTCCCAAACTGGTAGGGCGACGGCTGACAGCTGCGTTGGCTTGCGGGTTAATTTGTTCAAAAAAAAAAAAAAAAAAAAAAAAGAGAATACTCCATACCTTCAAACTGCCATGCTCTACTTTCTACCACAACAACTGAGCACCTTAGACTGCCCATGTCAACTGCTTCATCTCAAAAATGCAAAACAATTTAAAAGTAGTGGGGTCTTAGATATAAAAACTTTGGGATTCACGACCCTACATGTTTTATCACTCTGTCACAATGTTATTTTTCTTGCACCACTTGCCTGTGGTTATTCAAACATATCAGATTCAAAATCTATTCAGACATAAATCCAGCTATCAGGTACAGTACAGGCCAAAAGTTTGGACACACCTTCTCATTCAATGCGTTTTCTTTATTTTCATGACTATTTACATTGTAGATTCTCACTGAAGGCATCAAAACTATGAATGAACACGTGGAGTTATGTACTTAACAAAAAAAGGTGAAATAACTGAAAACATGTTTTATATTCTAGTTTCTTCAAAATAGCCACCCTTTGCTCTGATTACTGCTTTGCACACTCTTGGCATTCTCTCCATGAGCTTCAAGAGGTAGTCACCTGAAATGGTTTTCCAACAGTCTTGAAGGAGTTCCCAGAGGTGTTTAGCACTTGTTGGCCCCTTTGCCTTCACTCTGCGGTCCAGCTCACCCCAAACCATCTCGATTGGGTTCAGGTCCGGTGACTGTGGAGGCCAGGTCATCTGCCGCAGCACTCCATCACTCTCCTTCTTGGTCAAATAGCCCTTACACAGCCTGGAGGTGTGTTTGGGGTCATTGTCCTGTTGAAAAATAAATGATCGTCCAACTAAACGCAAACCGGATGGGATGGCATGTTGCTGCAGGATGCTGTGGTAGCCATGCTGGTTCAGTGTGCCTTCAATTTTGAATAAATCCCCAACAGTGTCACCAGCAAAACACCCCCACACCATCACACCTCCTCCTCCATGCTTCACAGTGGGAACCAGGCATGTGGGAACCAGGCATGTGGAATCCATCCGTTCACCTTTTCTGCGTCTCACAAAGACACGGCGGTTGGAACCAAAGATCTCAAATTTGGACTCATCAGACCAAAGCACAGATTTCCACTGGTCTAATGTCCATTCCTTGTGTTTCTTGGCCCAAACAAATCTCTTCTGCTTGTTGCCTCTCCTTAGCAGTGGTTTCCTAGCAGCTATTTGACCATGAAGGCCTGATTGGCGCAGTCTCCTCTTAACAGTTGTTCTAGAGATGGGTCTGCTGCTAGAACTCTGTGTGGCATTCATCTGGTCTCTGATCTGAGCTGCTGTTAACTTGCCATTTCTGAGGCTGGTGACTCGGATGAACTTATCCTCAGAAGCAGAGGTGACTCTTGGTCTTCCTTTCCTGGGTCGGTCCTCATGTGTGCCAGTTTCGTTGTAGCGCTTGATGGTTTTTGCGACTCCACTTGGGGACACATTTAAAGTTTTTGCAAATTTTCCGGACTGACTGACCTTCATTTCTTAAAGTAATGATGGCCACTCGTTTTTCTTTAGTTAGCTGATTGGTTCTTGCCATAATATGAATTTTAACAGTTGTCCAATAGGGCTGTCGGCTGTGTATTAACCTGACTTCTGCACAACACAACTGATGGTCCCAACCCCATTGATAAAGCAAGAAATTCCACTAATTAACCCTGATAAGGCACACCTGTGAAGTGGAAACCATTTCAGGTGACTACCTCTTGAAGCTCATCGAGAGAACGCCAAGAGTGTGCAAAGCAGTAATCAGAGCAAAGGGTGGCTATTTTGAAGAAACTAGAATATAAAACATGTTTTCAGTTATTTCACCTTTTTTTTGTTAAGTACATAACTCCACATGTGTTCATTCATAGTTTTGATGCCTTCAGTGAGAATCTACAATGTAAATAGTCATGAAAATAAAGAAAACGCATTGAATGAGAAGGTGTGTCCAAACTTTTGGCCTGTACTGTATATGGAGGGAGAGATGGAACGTGGGGAAAAACATGAGGGTAATCAAACCCTTTTCAAGCATCAACGCACATTAGAGCTGTTTTACGGCAATAGCTACAAAAAAAAACTTGTTATGTTACATTAGTTGGAAGGTTATCCATGGCAGATTACTGTAACAATTTACGACATTTCCATTATTTTAATAAAAGCATAATGTGTGCGATATTGTTTCCTACATATTTGTTGCATATTTGTGGTTTAACAACAATCCATCCCATCCACTTTGTGACAGTATGTGGGAGAAAACCTTGCCATCTAAAATAATCAGGGGCAGTAATGTCCATTTAGTAGTATATAAACATATTTTTAGGAAGTAGGGTTGGTACTTGAGTACAGTTTTGTAGTTCTTTTATTTGAGTCTTTCCACTTTGGGAGACCTTCAACCTCACAGGCAGGCCAATTTTGTACTTTTTACTGCACTGCAATTATCTGACAACTTGAGTTATTTGGTTACCTAATAGACTCTAATTTTATATCAAACATGAGCTGCTCTCCAATAATAACAGTCCCAAAACTATGATGCGAGGTGGTTGCACGACAATGAGACTAAAATCCTAAAATACTTTACTTTGGATAGTTCAGTATATTTTACGGTCCATGCTCACAGCAGTTAATTTAGAAACACAAAGTCACTAACATTTCTCTAAACTGTGAAGAAAAACTGCAGAGAATGAAGGAATAACAAATTAAGCATTCAGTTAAAACAGCATTGACGCAAGCGAAGCCAGCAGGATGGGGAGTGTGTGTGTGTGTGCGCGTGTGTGTGCATGTGTGTGCGCTGGGAGACCACATTTAAAGCTCAATATCCGAACTCCAAGCTAATTGCTTCCTATCTGCTGTGGACTCATCTGACCTCCCCTCGGCTCCCTCAGCTGAATTCAAATGCAGAAAAGGAGCGGCCTCCAGACACCTGCAGGATGCCATGTTATCTCGCTCAACACCAGGCGTCCTCTTCCAATGACTCTGATGACGCCGAAGGAAGGCAGGGCAGAGGAGAGAGATTGTATGCAAATTGTGAAAATCACTTACTTTGAAATAAATTTAATTATGGGAATTAGCAGTTGTCTGCTTCCTTGTTTCCGCTGACATTCAACTGATCCTTTAGAGGTCTAACCTTTTTCTAAAACTTTCAGTCCTGGTTGAGTTGGCGACACCTGTGTGTTCATTCAACAATGAACATGATAATTACACATGTGCAATCACGTCAAAGTTAGGCTGACCAGCAAAGGAAAGTCTATAGGAAGTCACAGTTGTCTTTAAAGTTTGTCTTTTTCCTACTCTATATGTTTGAATGATCATTCATGCTTTTTGGTTGTAGAGAGTCCTCTTTAAAAATAGATGTTATTTTGAACAAAGGGTTTGTTTCCACATGGAGAGCACAACCCTGTACAATGATTCAACCATACTTCCAAGGGCAGACAGAAACAAAGATCCCTATGAGCAGCAGTTGAATAAGAACACAAGAAATCATCAGTCACTGGTAAAAGAAACTGAAAGCTTAAC